GTATGGTGTAAGATGGTGATCCAGCTTCACTCTTATAGCATTTTGCTATTCAGGTTTCCCAACACCGTTTATTGAAGAGACTGTTCTTTCCCTACTGCATATTCTTGGCTCCTTTATTGTAAATTATTGACACTATACATGTAGGTTTATTTCTGGGCTCTCTATTCTGTTCCATTAATCTATGTGTATTTTTTAATAGAAGGTGGCCAATTTAAATTCAGGTCAACCTTTGAGTAGCCAGGCTTGATATATGCAGTTTGATATATGGCTCTAGAACTTGTACCAAGATGTTAAGTCAGATCGGCTTCCTCCAAAATTTGGACTGCATAATATAGGATATGGAAAGGATAATTTTGTTATAATGAAGGAATAATGGAGCCAAACTACATACCAAAGCAGAGATGACATTATCTGGGCTAGAGATAGAGAATGGAGTATATAAACAAAGGGTAGAATTGAGGAGCTATTAGGAAGACTTCATAATGCTCACCTCTACATTCTTCCCACTCCTAGTATTCATTAGCTCAATGACTGGGGCCCTACTTCCAACAAATCTGTCTTTCTATCCCCTCTGCCATTACTGGAATAATTTTTCCAAGATTAAAATATACCCATGTCATTCTCTGGTTTAAAACCTATCAATAACAATCCATAATTACCTTCCAAACTTCATGACATGTGAAGCCCATGACTGCCAGACCCCTGCCTACTTATACGGCAATTTTAATTTTCAGGCATTTCTCTCACCTTTTGCATTCTATTTTTAATACATATTTAACATACTTCCATTTCTGCAAATATGCCGTATCTCCTTTGCTTCTGGTCCTTTCAACGTCCTTCTATTTCCTCCTGACTATTCTAATGCCCCAATAAAACTACACTGCTTAATAGCAGAAACAATCTCCTATTCTCCTCTGTATCTCTGGCACCTAGCATAGCACAAGGCACATATAAGCACATAATAATACTTGCCCTCGCTTTCAAAGATGCCAAATTCTTTAAGCAGCATCAGAAACTATATCTATTCCATCTTTACACTTCTTGCAGTGTTGTTAGCAAAGTGTTTTATTCTTAGTTTCCTCAATAAATTCATGCTGAATTCAGTGAAAGTAGTGACACAACTATAAACCCCTATACTTATTTAAAATAAGTAAATTATATTCCAAAATATAATGTTACAAAATGGGTATAAATGAACCACATATGTTAATTATATATGGTGACTGAATATGCTATAAAGTGCACATATGGTAGCAAGAACACAACTCTACTGTATAACTCAATGTGAGTCATGTAAACCTAATATGTAGCAATAAGTGCTAATTAAACATTTAATTAACAATTTTCTTATCCTTTTGCAACTTAAAATGATTTGAAGGGAATTATTGGGGTCTCTTAAAAGCACTTTCTTGGTCATTTTACATATGTATTTTTTCCTCTCCATTAATTTCTTTAAAGAGTACAGAGGCCAGCAAAATTGTCCTATTAACCTCAGAGTTTGGCTCTTTCACTTCAAGAAGAGGCTTTGCATAGTTTTAAGAGGTGCCCACATAAAATCTGCAGTGCTTTCTTTCTAAAGGCTTTGTTTGGGTCCTTTGTTCGTTAGCCAAAATTCTGGATGTATTCTCTATCTTCTAATATAGTAAAATGCACACAAACACACAATTCCAAAGCTACTATGATGCAGACAATAGTCATTCCAGTGCACTTGTATTGAGATTATTTTAGGTCTACTTTTCCTAAAAATTTAAAAAACATGTTTTGTGGGGCACCTGGGTAACTCAGCTGGTTTTTTGGCTCAGGTCATGATTTCAGCATTGTGAAATGAGCCCTGAGTTGGGCTCCATGCTCAGTGGAGAGTCAGCTTGTCCCTCTCCTTTCCCCTCTGTACCTCCCCCTACTCACCCACATGCACGCACTCTCTTTCTCTTTCAAATGAATAAATAAGTTTTTAAAACAAAACAAATCAAAAGAACATGTCTTGGGGTACTGGAACTGTCCAGATCACCAAACAGCTCCTCAGCACTCCATAGAGCCTTTGTGTAGAAAAGTCTATATAGACTTTATGGGGTCAGGAATTACCTAACTTGTTCATTGTTCTTTCTAACACCTGGTACTAAATATGGTACATGGTAGGTGCTTAATTGACATCTTTTCACTGGGAAAAGGTAGCATGGGTTTATAGGACTGAGAGCATACATACTTTGAAGAATAAAGGTTATGGTACCTAGTCACAAATAAGCAATTAAAACAAAAACTAATTTGTTTATACTAATCCTGCAGTAGTTACGAATTATCCTTGGAAAAAAGAGAGATCCAAATAACATTCACTAAATGATAACAGAGCCCAGTATAGATATGGTACCTAACTTTAATTGCAGTATAATGAATAGGAAATAAAAAATTGTATAGTGATATATACTTCATTGCATCATTTCTAAGATACATAGTTTCCCATAATTTAACATCTCTAAAATAAGAAATCATTTTAAAATTAATTATTCTTGTTGAAATCACCAGGATCTAAAGAGATGAAAGTCAGTTCCTTATTAGCTGAGTACAGCAAGAAAAAAAGCCTCTGAAGAACTGCTTCAAAGTCATTATACACGGAATTAATTTTATATGGGGGACAGAGCTCCTCAGACAAGAAATGACAAAAATTCTGAGAATGGCAAGCAGTCTCAAGCACTCTAATATGTGAGTTTCCATAAAATAGAATGGTATCTGTGGGCAAGAAACAAAGGAGCTGTACTACTTCTCTTGAGAAAGACACCACTGGGCTTCCTCAGTAACTCAGTTTTAACTCAGTTATGTGACATTTTCCATTAGCATGAATAAAGCCTGGGGAAAGTGCTAGAAGAACGGGAGATTCAACCTAAGATTTGTATAGAACAACAAACAAAAGACCCCAAATAACCAAAGCAATCTTAAGCAAAAAGAACAAAGCTAGAGGTATCACAATCCCAGATTTCAAGATATAATACAAAGCAATAGTAATCAAAACAGTATAGTCCTACCACAAAAACAGATACATAGATCAATAGAATAGACTAGACTAGACTAGATAGCCAGAAATAAGCCTACAATTATATGGTCAATTAATCTATGGCAAAGGAGACAAGAATATATAATGGGGAGAATATATTCTCTTCTTTTCGGTTGGGAAAATTGGACAGCTACATGCAAAAGAGTGAAACTGGACCACTTTTTCACAATATACACAAAGTCAAATGGATTAAAGACCTAAATGTGAGGCCTGAAACCATAAAACTCCTAAAAAGAAACACAGACAGTAATCTCTTTGACATTGGCCTTAGCAACATATATATGGATATGTCTCCTCAAGCAAGAGAAACAAAAACAGAAATAAACTATTGGAACTACACCAAAATAAAAGCTTTTGCACAGGGAAGAGAACCATCAATAAAAGGAAAGAGCAACCTACTAAATGGGGGAAGTTATTTTCAAGCAACACATCTGATAAAGAGTTAATATCCAAAATACATAAAGAGCTTATACCACTCAACAGCAAAAAAACAAAAACAACAACAACTACAAGCCCAAACAATCCAATTAAAAAATGGGCAGAGGACCTGAATAGACAGACATCTTTCTAAAGAAGGCATAGAGATGGCCAACAGACACATGAAAAGGTCCTCAACATCACTAATCATCAGGCAAATCAAATCTACAATGAGATACCGCCTCATGTTAATCAGAATGGCTAGTCAAAAAAGCAAGAAATAACAAATGTTAAGGATATAGAGAAAAGGGAATACTTGCGCAACAGTGGTAAGAATGTAAATTGGTATAACCACAATGGAAAACAATGTAGAGGATCCTCAAAAAATTAAAAACAAATAACATATGATCCAGTAATTTCACTTCTGGGCATTTACCCAGAAAAAACAAAAACAATAATTCAAAAGATATATGTACCCTTATGTTGACTGCAGCATTATTTATAATAGCCAAGATAGGGAAGCAGCCTAAGTGTCCATCAATAGATGAGTGGTAAAGAAGATGTGGTACACACATATTGTGGAATATTCGCCATAAAAAGTTCTCGCTATTTCCAACAATAAGAATGGCCCCGGAGTGTACATATTATGCTAAGTGTAGTAAATCAGAGAATGATAAGAACCATGTGATTTCACTTATTGTAGAACCTAAAAAAAAACACACACAAAAAAAAATGAACAAATAGAAAAAGATTCTTAAATAAAGGGAACAAAATGTGGTTACCAGAAGGAAGGAGAGTTGGAGAATGAGTGAAATAGGTCAAGGGAATCAAGAGGTACAGATTTCCAGTTATAAAATAAAGAAGTTACAAGGATGAAAAGTAACATAGTCAATAATACTGTAATAACATTGTATGGTGAGAGTGGCAGCTACACTTACCATGGTTAGCACTGACTTATGCACTTGACTTTGACCAAGCTTTATAAATTGGATTGTTTTTGCTTCTACTGGAAGTCACAAAATTATTGAATCAATGTGTTATATACCTGAAACTAATATAACCTTGTATGTCAACTATAGTTCAATAATAAAATTTTTAAATAACATAAAATTGAAAAAAAAAACCCAGGGGATTTATTTTTCAGGAAAACATAGTTTTTCACACTTTACTGTCATTCTCAACCAGGCAGCAGTGATGATACATTGCCATTGCCTGCACATAAGTAAATATGGTCATGGTTTTTCATATTGTCATTTTAACTAAATTATGTTAGTACTATAGGTGCTACTTTTAATTACCATTTAAAATGTCTTTAAGAATTACATTATAATTCTGCACTGAAATAAAAAGTTGTGTGTTCAAAAAGACATAGAAGCCATGTGGCAAGATATATATTTAATAGTCCAGAAGGAAATTTCCATCTTTAAAGTAATGAATTCTATTATTTTTTCTTTTGGACATCAAAACCAAAGTGATTTATTGGCACTAAAGGAGAAAGGCCCCACAAGAAGATAAAGATGTGTTATCTTTTGTTTCGATGGACTGTCACATGCCAAAAAAGAAAGTACCAGCAACAAATTTTGCAGAACAGAGGTCAGTAGGTGATGAGGAAATCCCAGAGATTACAGTGGAGTACTCTTTAAAGAAATGCTGCATTGGTAATGCTCTTGATGGCACAGAAGGCCATAGCTTGTGACAAAAAAGGGATAGGTATCAATAACTCTGGGTTTAAAAGAGATGCAGAAAATTTCACATTTGAAATTGAATTTCATGTGAAATTTCAATTTCACATTTACCCTCTAAATGTGAAATTGTTTTAAAAATATGTCAAGCAATTTATTTCACCATTTTAAAAATATGCAAAGTATGATATATGGTAAAACATCTGTAACAAAAAATAATTAAGTTATTTCAGTAAGCATAAGATAAAAATTCTAAGAGATAAAATACTGTCACAGTTTCATGGGAAGCATGGGTTTTTCTTCCTTTGTTAGTCAAAATGGTGTCTTCTATTAATAAGCTTACATTCTTTTCTATTTTAATGTTGGCTGGATCCTGAAGTATCTGGAAAATCTTGAGAGTGATATGAGAGAGGTAAGTGTTTAGCATAAATACAGACTCTAACTTTGGTGGTAAGAAGGAGAAAGACGGATGAATTAGAAAAGACTAAAAGACATGGAAAAAATATTGCACGTGATTAAAAACAGCAAACTGTTAATGAGTTAAATATAACAGTACAAGTTGGTTCCCAAAGCACTTCTAAGTTTATGTTCAGTCTTGGAGGTATTGACTGAGAAACAGCCTGTTTTAGAGTCTATCCTCTTCAGTGGAGTTTCAGAGGAAAGAGGGGAGAAGTTAAGTATCTACTTAGGGCAGCTGGATTACCTAAATCAGCTCTATTACCTCTTAGATTTGTACAAGTTGCAGCCACATTGTGATTTCCCCCCATATTTTAACGGCACCCACTGCAGTCCCTGCTAGCACTCAGCCCAGAAATACTGGATTTAGGGGAGAGCTGACTCCATCTGACACTGATGATGGTAGGTATGTGGCTGGGTAAACTATTCATTTTAAAGTAACAAAATACGTCCTGTTTCAATACCTAGAACAGCATTTCATTATGCTCCAGAATTAACGTAGATGGACTTTCATGACTCTACGTTTTTCATTTCTTTCGGAGTTGCCACACCCTCTGGGAATCAGTCTAGCTATAAATGATTCAGGCAATGAGGCTTCCATTTCTTCCCCTGGAAAACTAATGTACAGTCTAATAGACTGTTAGGAAATTGTTTCTGATATTCAGCCTACATTTTCTTTTCCCTAATTGCATCCCATTACTACATTCTAAACAATTTTTCTTTCTCCTTTATACCCTACAGATTCTTGTCTAGGACCATTTCAATTTGGCCAAGCTTTATAAATTGGATTGTTTTTGCTTCTACTGGAAGTCAAACTTTCTTGTTTCTAGTTTACTCGCTTGATATTCTGCAAATTTCCTTGCTGCTGGCTGTTACCATGATAGTCACAAGACTGTCATTTACTAAGAATTGTTCTGACCAGACAACCATTTAGGAAATAGTACTGCCCCTCTTATTTTGAATGCAAAAATTCAGAAATATCATGATGGTTGTATATTACGTTACCTACATCTTTTCCATCTACTTATAGGTTAAACAATTGACATTATTCGATCTCTTCCCAGAAATTACATTTTGATTTCTCTTTTCCAATTTTTGTTTTGTGTCCCGCACGTCTTCTAACAGATCACAACTTGCCAGTAAACATCAAATAGGTAGATAATTCTGTCCAATTTTATGACATAAACAGCTTCTAAATGACAAAAATGCACCGTAAAATAGATATCACTAATCTCAAAGCTCCTTATTGCTAAATGCTGCTTCCTCCCAACACCAATTATTTTCCCTTTTTTTTTCTTTATAATTTAAGGGCCCTCCCTCCACGCCCGGAGCACCCCTTCCCCGCAGCTCCAGCTCCAAGGCCGGCGGGGGCGCGGCAGCGGCGACCTAGACCGTACAGGTGAGCGCCCAGCTGCGGAGCCCAGGTGCTAGGGCCCTTGGGACAGGTGCCCCGCGCTGCCTGGCGCAGTCTCGCCTCACAAATAGGAAGAAGCTTTACCTCTTTTTGTTTGTTTTGGTAATAAATATATTTTAAAAATTATATATTCTTTTTAATGGGTATACTTTCACATCTAGTACCTACGTTAACCCAGATCTTAAGTCGGTGATTGATTTCCAGGATTTCTTTGAGCTCCAAGAGTGGATATGCTGACATTCTCTCTCTCTCTCTCCCCCTCTTCCTCTCGCCCTCTCTCTCTCTCACGCGGCGACAAATAAAATGTTCTATTCTCTATATCTCGCCTTCTAATAATACATGAACTATTTATGGCAGACTAATCTTAAATTCTGGGCATTATAAATAATGGGATATAGTAAAGACTTCTAGACTTCAGTCATCCTCTGAAAATGAAAAGACAAAACAAAAGAAAAAAACAAACTACTCTAATGAAAAAGACTCCTACACTGCAGGGAGAAAAAAATGCCCAAGGGAAGGGTTTTGTTACTGTTGTTGTTGTTGTTGTTGTTGTTGTTGTTTGGGGTGTGTGTGTGTGTGTGTGTGTGTGTGTGTGTGTTTTGTTCTTAATGGAACCACAGTTTCTAAGAGAATCTTATTAGGAAGAGAGAGAACGGTTTTGAAAAATCTGCTACCTGGGATCCCTGGGTGGCGCAGTCGTTTGGCGCCTGCCTTTGGCCCAGGGCGCGATCCTGGGGACCCGGGATCGAATCCCACGTCAGGCTCCCGGTGCATGGAGCCTGCTTCTCCCTCTGCCTGTGTCTCTGCCTCTCTCTCTCTCTGTGACTATCATAAAAAAAAAAAAAAAAGAAAAATCTGCCACCTGCTACATAATATTGTAAGATGTCAAAGATAAATGAGTATTGGTTACTGAAGGGTGATAATCTGACTTAACTTTAGAAAAAGTGTCATATAATGAGTATTTTTCTGTCTGAGTATAACTTTACTTGAAATAATGACTGCAGCATTCGTAGTACAAGCCTTCCCACCACGAATTACCTTTCTTGCAGAGAAATGGGAAAAAAAAAAAAAAAAAAAAAAAAACATTAGAAGCAAGATTCTGTGGGCCAATTCCCCAGAATGGTTTGGGAGCGCTAAAGTAGCACCTTGCAACCTGGTAAGTATCAGGGTCCTTTACAGAAGAGCTTTCATCATCCTGCTTTCTTGGGAGGACAGTAAATAGGGGAAGGGGAAGCTTCCTCAAAGGGACTCAGGCATTCCGTTTTAAAAACTCATTTTTATCTCCCTCTGTTTCTCTGGATGCTGTTATAATACATCCCAAGACCGACTGACTTTGTCTCAGTCCTGTTTGGAAAACTATGAAGATTTTGTATGAAAATTTTAAAGTATTCTATTACTATTTTTGTTGCTCTTTGACATTTTAAATTAAATGAATGCACACTGCAAAATCTATTCTTGGGTATGAAAACTGATAAATAAAATGTGTAATGATGGCATTTAACTTAATACAAATTCAACTGTGTGAATCACAGAGAAGACCCAATGGAAAAGAGAAAAAAAAAATAGTGTTGCTAACCTCTCTGCTCACCACATCAGAACATGGAGACCTGGACATACTTTCCTCAGAGCATTGTCTCAATGAACAATATCTAATGCCTCTGATCACAAGAGCATCTTGCTGTACCAAATATTATAAAACTTTATACCGTTCGACTTTATCTGGGCAATCAGTTATGGCTCCAATTGCAGTAAAATTCTTTAGAAGAATGGTGTATACACACTATTTTCAATTCCTTTCCTAAAATTATCTTTTCTAATACTGTACTTTGAATTAATTACAGGTTTACCCACAGAATATATACAAGAACAGTACAAAGAGGTCCAATATAGCCTTTGCCCAAATTCTCTACCACCTTTATCATTTGTGCTATCATTTCTCTTACTCTCAAATACAATATTATGTCTTTTTTGGAACTATTTGAAATATCCCTGAACAACTGAATATTTCAGTGTATACTTCCAAAAATAAGGTTAGTCTGTCACATAACTACAGTTCAATTACCAAAATCAAAAAAATCAATATTGATATAACACTATTATATAATTGATTGACTTTATTCTTCCTTTACCACTTGTTTTTAAAAAGTGACTTTTAGGGATCCCTAGGTGGCGCAGCGGTTTAGCACCTGCCTTTAGCCCAGGGCGCGATCCTGGAGACCCGGGATTGAATCCCATGTCTCCCAGTGCATGGAGCCTGCTTCTCCCTCTGTCTGTGTCTCTGCCTCTCTCTCTCAGTGTGTGACTATCATAAAAAAATTTAAAAAAAAGATTTAAAAAAAGTGACTTTTAGAGCAAATACTAGTTCTAATAATTGTGGTCATGAGTCCAACCAGGGTGATTTCTTTTTGTAATTTCAGTTTCCAGGTGTTTATTGTTAGTATATAGAAAAGTAATTGGTTTTTGTATCATGATCTTTCCTTCTGCGATCATCCTAAACTCACTTATATATTAGTTCTAATTTTTTTTTGAGACTCTACCATACTTTTAGATGATCATTTTGTCTTGGAATAAAAAGTTTTGCATATTTTTTTCCAAACCGGCTGTTTTTTTATTTCTTTTTCTTGCCTTATTGCACCGACTAGAACCTTTAGTACAATCATGAATAAAAGTATTGAGAGTGCACATCCTTGTCTTGTTCTAGTTCCTAGCTGAAAAGCATTCAGTCTCTCACCATTAAATATGATGTTATTTATAGCTTTCTATAGACATCCTTTTTCAGGATATGGAAAGTCCCCTCTGTAATGGATGGAATGGTGGCCTCTTAAAAGATATGTTCGTGTTCAAATCCTTGGACCTGTGAATGTTATTCTATTTGGAAAAAAAAAAAAAGTCTTTGCAGATACAATTAAGTTAGGGACCTTGAGATAAGAATATTATGAATTACTCAAGTGGGCCCTAAATTCAATGACAAGTGTTTTACAAGAGAAAAGAAGACACAGACACACAGAGGAGAAGGTGACATGGAAGAGGGAAGTCGTAGGAGATGAACCAAGAAATACTAACAGCCATCAGACACTGGAAAAGGCCCAGAAGGATTGAGCCTCCATAGGAAATGGAGCCCTTGCTGGCACCTCAATTTTAGACTTCTGACCTCCAGAACTGTGTGATAATAAATTTTTGTCGTTTTAGCCAATCAGTTTGTGACAATTTGTTACAGCAGTCACAGGAAACTAATACACTTTTTACACCTATTTGCTGAGAGTGTTTTTGTTTCTTTTAAAACCAGGAATGGAAACTGAATTTACTAAAAGACTTTTTCTCCATCTGCCTATCTTCCCCCATGTTTGTTACATGGTACATTGCTTTGAATGATTTTCAAATGTTAAACCGACCTTTTATTTCTAGGATAAAGCCCACTTCATTATGTTATCTGTCCCTTTTCCTGTACTACTGAATTCAATTTGCTAAAATTTGGTTCAGCATTTTTGCATTTATGTTTATGAGGGGTATTCGTCTGCAGTTTTCTTGTATGGTATTTGGTTTTGGAATCTGAATAATGCTGAATGATTCTGAAATATTCCCTCCTTTTAAATATCTGAAAGACTATGTATACATTTGATACTCTTTATTCCTTAAACTGTTGGTAGAATTCACCAGTAAATTCACATCTGGGGTTTGCAATTTCTCTGTGAGAAGGCTTTAAATTAAAATTTTAATTTTAAAAATAGATATAGGGCTATTCACCTTAGCTATTTCTTCTTGAGTGAGCTTTGACAGTTTTCATCTTTCAATAAGTATTTATATTTCATCAGAATTGTTGACTTTATTGCTATAAAGCAGTTCATAATATCCCTTTATTATCTGTTTAATACATGCACAATCTGGAATAACACTACCCCTCTCATTCTCTTTTTGCTTGATCAATCTGGCTAAAAGTTTATCAGTTTTATTGATATTATAAAAAAACACATATTGATTCCATTGATATTTTCTCTATTATTTTTCTGTTTTCCATTTCATTCATTTCTACTCTGATCTTTATCACTTGTTCTCTTTTACATATTTCAGATATAAGTTGCCTTTATTTTCTGGTTTCTTTGGGTAGAAGATGAGATCATTAAAACTTAAGATTTTTATTCTTTCCAAATATAGGTATTTAGTGCTATAACTTCTCCCTAAGTACTTCTTTTTAAAAATATTTTATTTATTCATGGGAGACACAGAGACAGAGAGAGGCAGAGACACAGGCAGAGGGAGAAGCAGGCTCCATGCAGGGAGCCCAAGGTGGGACTCAACCCCAGGTCTCCAGGATCACACCCTAGGCTGCAGGCACGCTAAACCGCTGCACCACCAGGGCTGCCCACATACCACAAATCCTTGTGCTGCTAGTCATTGATGCTGTACGTGAGAGTCAGAAGTACGACGACGTGACAGAGAAGGTGAACCTGCAGAATAATCCTGGGGCTGTGGAACATTTCCACATGAAGCTTTTCCGTGCCCAGAGGAATCTCTATATTGCTGGCTTTTCCTTGCTGCTGTCCTTCCTGCTTAGACGCCTGGTGACCCTCATCTCCCAGCAGGCCACGCTGCTGGCGTCCAATGAAGGCTTTAAAAAGCAGGCAGAGAGTGCCAGTGAGGCGGCCAAGAAGTACATGGAAGAGAATGACCAGCTGAAGAAGGAAGCTGCTGCTGGCGGGGTCAAGTCAGTTAGGTGTCTGTCTTTGGCTCACGTCATGGTCTCAGTGTCCTGGGATCAAGCCCACTTTGTGCCAGGCTCCCTGATCAGTGGGGAGTCTGTCTCTCCCTCTGCTTCCTTCCTTTCCGCCCCCAACCTGCTCATGCTTCTCTCAAATAAATAAATAAAATCTTTTTTTTAAAAAAAAAAACTGATAGAATTGAAAAGATGAATGCAACAATTCACAATATTAGAGATTTCAATATCAAACCCTCTAAAAAGTGATAGGACAAATAGACAATCAGTAAGAATACAGAATATTTGAATTACACTATCAACCAACTTGACCCAATTGACATTTATAAAACACTCTATCCAACAAAAGTATAATATACATTCTTTTTTAGCCGACATGGAACATTTGCAAAGATTGACAATATTTTGGGCCATGAAACAAATCACAGTAAATAAAATGATTCAAGACACACATAATAAATTCTATAATAAGAATAAATTCTCTCTAAGCATAATAAAATTAAATGAGAAATAGGTAATAGGAAGATCTCTGGAAAATCCCCCAAATATTTGGAAATTAAAGGACACATTTCTAAATAATCCATGTGTCAAAGAAGAAATCAAATGGAAATTTAGGAAGTATTTTGAACTGAATGAAAATAAAAACATATCAAAATTTGTGGTATAGCTGACAGTAGTTTTTCTCTTCTTTGTGGCTCCATTTTTCTGGTATGTTCACACCTGTTGGAACATTGTTTAGCTTATTTCCAATTTATTTATAAATTGCAATTTTTATATTGGGTTGGATTGTAAATAATTTTTTTCTGTATTTGAATGAAGTTGGGTTTTTGTTTTTAACAATTAGTTAAACTAGGAGAAGTTTACATAGGAAGCAGAGAAAAGTCATAGTTTTGCAAATTCGTGGCTCAGGAGCTCCTTTTTCTGCTGTTACTATGATATATTCAGAAATTTAGTGGGACATCTGGGGGGCTCAGTGGTTAAGTGTCTGCCTTTGGCTCAGGTCATGATCTTGGGGTCCTGGGACTGAGTCCCACACTGGCTTCCTTGCAGGGAGCCTGCTTCTCCCTCTGTCTATGTCTCTGGCTCTCTCTCTCTCTCTCTCTCTGTGTGTCTCTCATGAATAAATAAGTAAAATCTTAAAAAAAAAAGAAAAGAAATTTAGCTACTTTTTGTTTCCATTTCGTGTCTGGAGACTAAGCTTGATTCAGAAAGTTGTCTAATCACTTTGCACAGTGACAGATGGTTGCTACACCTGGAGCTCAGAATAGCCTTTAGTGTCATTGAAGCACTCTGTTGTGCACCTGAAACTAATGTCACATTGCATGTCAATTATAATTAAATTAAAAGAATAAATGTAACTTCTCCTGAATGAAGGAAAAAGAGAAAAAGAAAGAAAGAAAGAAAGAAAGAAAGGAAGGAAGGAAGGAAGGAAGGAAGGAAGGAAGGAAGGAAGGAAGGAAGAAAGAAGAAAGAAAGAAAGAAAGAAAGAAAGAAAGAAAGAAAGAAAGAAAAAGAAAGGGAGGGAGGGAGGGAGAAAGAAAGGAAGAAGAAGAAGAAGAAGAAGAAGAAGAAGAAGAAGAAGAAGAAGAAGAAGAAGAGAAGGAGGGAAAGAGGGAAGGGGGAAGAGATGGAGGGAGGAAGAAAGGAAGGAGCAAGGAAAGAAAGAAAAAGGGAAGAGGATTGGAGGGAGGGAAAGAGGAAGGAAAGAAGGAAGATAGGTAGAGAGATGGATATCTTGACTCTACCTCTGATAGGTCCAGAATTTCACATACTTTCACATCAATGTTCTCATGTTCAAAAATTATATTTTGTGGTTATGGTATATCCTGAGATATTTATCTACTGGCCTCTTCTCTAGGGTTCCAATTTGTTCAATTTAGGTTCTGTTCTCAATAAACTGTTTCTTCTGTTTCTTCTCTATCATTCTAAAAATGTGCATTTGTTGAATACATTTGAGATTCTTCAGGGCTTAGGCTGCTTCCCTAAAGTATGAGAATCTAAGAAAGCTTTCTGTGATTTCTTATAGCTTTTCCTCTTTGTCTGCAATTTAGAGTCTATGTGAATTTTTCTGTTTCACTGATTCTCCTTTATTTGCCTAGCTTCCTGTATTGAATTTTAGCTAAATCCCTCTGTATTCTGAGGATTGTGGGAATCCCAATCATCTAATTTTGTTGAAAACAAAATCTGTTTGTATAAAAGAATTTTTTAAAATGTCACAACTGTCATATTCTTTCTGTTAAAAAAGAATGCTTTTTAATTTAAATTATGTGGTTGGTCCATAAAAGATAAAGTATAATGTCTAAGAATTTGATGATGAAGTAAGGAAAACTTACTTTCTGAAATGGAAATTAATAAAAATAAATTCATAATATTCAAGATTCGTTGTTTAATTCAATAAAAGTATAATCTGGGGCAGCCCAGTAGTGCAGTGGTTTGGCGCCGCCTGCAGCCGGGGTGTGATCCTGGAGACCCGGGATCAAGTCCCACATCAGGCTCCCTGCATGGAGCCTGCTTCTCCCTCTGCCTGTGACTCTGCCTCTCTCTCTCTCTGAATAAATAAAAATAAATAAATAAATAAAAGTATAATCTGTTTGTTAATGCATTTAGGTATCTATATACAGGATAAGAGTTAATAATCAATAAAATTTGTAACCCAGGGGTTCCTGGATGGCTCAGTCATTTAAGCATCTGACCCTTGATTTTAGCTCAGGTCATGATTAAGGGTGATGAGACTAAGCCCCATGTAGGGCTCCACACTCAGCAGGGAGTCTGCTTGAGATTATTTCACAGTCCCTCTGCCCTTCCCCCAGCTCTTGGGTGTGCATGTGTGCATGTGTTCTCTCTCTCTTTGTCTCAAAAATTAATCAATCAATCTTTTAATAATTTTCATAAGCCATAGTCTCACTTTTCAAGTTGCTTATATTTTTGAGGGGCTGGTAATAATAACAATACAAAAATAACTACTAGGTAGGGTATGATAGGCTATTAAAGATATTTCTTAATATCTTATGTAGGAGAGAACTATTCTGACCAAAGGAAAAAAGACTTCATGGAATAAGTATCATTTCAATATAACCTAGAAAATGAATGGAATGCCCAAATTTCTGTTTTTGAGGATGTAAGACATTAAAGTAGAAATCATTAGACTGAGCAAAGGCAAAAGAGAGAGAGAGAGAGAGAGAGAGAGAGAGAGAGAAAATATTAAGATGCTTGGAATTCTTTAGTAGCTAGATTTAGATATAAACTTGCTCAGAGAGAGAACTCTTGAAAGTGTTACCCCAGGTAGTTGAGACCAAAATAGACTTCAAAAGATGATACCCTCTTCATTTATATTATAGGAGAATGGGGGTTTATCCAAGTCCTATTTGATTGAACAACCCTCAGCAGGGGTGTAAATGTGTAATAAGATACTGAAAAAGACTGTTAAAAAATAATGGAGATTTGTTTTTCCTAGAGATGAGAAAAAGAAATCATTGTGAATTTTAGATCTGTCATTACCTCTTTTTCTGTATCTCTTTTGGAGAAGTAAACAGATCAATTAACAAAAGTACCCTCAATTTTATTTTTTTATTTTTTTCCTCAATTTTATATATCATTTATTTACTAAATATTTATTGAACATTTACTATTTTTAAGCCACTTGTGTGGCTTATATTTTTCCTCAAAAAGAGAAGTCTGCAAACTTGCCCCTTTCAAACTCTTAAATCAGTGGTTCTTAACCTTAGCTACACATTAGAACAAGCAAGGATCTTTAAAACTAATGCTGATACCCAGGACTCTTCTCTACCAACTAAGTTAGAACCTTTAGGGGTGGGGGGTCTAGGTTTGAATATTTTATAAACTTGCCCAAATGATACTCATGGGAAGTCAGGGTTGAGAGCTACTATCTTGAGTACAGAGAGAAGGAAGAGGGAGTGTTTTACTCTATGTAGATAACTAATTGTGGGTTGCTTTTATCAGTATTGGTGTTTGTGCTAATTTCCTTTAAATATAACTCTTCTTCAAACAATAATGGCACATATTTCTGAATAGTTTCAGAAATGTAGGAGTGTAGTCCACAGTCATGGAACAGGATCAAGAGCATTGCCTCCACTCTTGGCCTCATTAGCCAAAAAATGACTGAGTAACAAAACTGAATAAAACCCAGATTTAGAACACAAGGCTAATAAGGCCATGGGCACAATCTCTACACAGGACTATTGACTTAATTCTACCTCATGTCCTCAGAATGCTCCCTCCTGGTCATAAAAAAAGTCTAGGTAATGAGCAGGAATAGACAACAGCAAATCTATCACTTCTAATGAAAGCATGCTCATATATTAGTCAAGAATATCATGTTCATCTATGAAGAACAATACAAACTGAAAGGATGCTAATCAGATAAGGTGCAATCAGGTCCAAAGAGATTCATTCTTAGAAAGAATCAAGTACAGGATGCCTGGGTGGCTCAGTGGTTGAGCAACTTCTTTTGGTACAGGATGTGATCCCAGGGTCCTGGAATGGTGTCCCACATCAGGATCCCTGCAGGGTGCCTGCTGCTCCCTATGCCTATGTCTCTGCCTCTCTTTTCTGTGTCTGTCATGAATAAATAAATAAAATCTTAAAAAAAAAGAAAGAATGGAGTACAGTCTGTAAGTCAGCCTAAGTACTTAGGAAATACAATTCCTCTGTACCTTCCTATTCAGTGTCATGCTCTAATCAGCAATATTAACTTTACCTGAAAGTTGGTTAGAAATGCAAACTCTCAGATCTCATTCCCGACTTACTGAGCTAGAATCTGATGGTAGCAGGATGCCCTGGTGATTTGTATGCACACTTAAGTTTAAGCAGCACTAGACAAGACCCATACATTTGTAACATCAACTCTTGCATCAATAATATAATCTCTGAAGTCATTATTTTGCTTTATTTTTTTAACTTTTTTAAATTTTGCTTTAATAAGAGAAAATATCTTCCTGAAACAACACAATCACCATTCCTCACTCCTATCA